TCGGGACAGTTACAGAAAGATGGCTGCCTTCTTTCTTGGAAAAGAAGCAGCAGGGAACTGAGCAGGAGACGGGCTTATGTAAGGTTTATTGGGGAGAAGTTTTCCAGGGTGGAGATCGGTGGGGTTTCAAGCTCAGAGATTGGTGGGTTTTTGGTAGTTTTCAAACCTAGAAGTGGGCTCTGACCTTTGACTCTACACTCTGGATGTCCATTCACGTAATCAGAGACTCAAGTGGAAACAATTTCTTTGTAAATCATATATTGTATACATACCTAATTCCCATACATATATTACTGTGACACCCTTCTCTGTCATGAAAACACTGAACAATGACAAAGTCTTGAATATGGAAGACAAATATAAGTAGTTTTAAGAAGTTTGGATCCTTAGATTCACCTGCTTCATTAGAAATCAAGAAACTTCAGGTATGGAGATGTATGCCTGTAATTTGGGCACTGAGGAGGCTGAGACAAGAGTCATGAGTTAGAGACCAGCCTGATCCAAAGGGTGAGACCCTGCCTCAAAACAAATAAGTAATCAAACATCACTCCATGTAACTGGAGGATCTTTTCAAACGTACTACGGTTTTTCAGTTTATACCAGAACCCAAAATGAAAGTCTACAAAAAGCATTACAAGTTGTACCAGTGAGACTCTTACGTTTTAGAAACAATTTCAAAATTATAGGAACGTTGCAAGAACTGTTTAAAGAATTCCTATAGAACACTGATTACTGCCTTTCTCAGCCTTAATTTTTATACACCCCAGGGCCCTCCCCCACCAATCACCAATTAAGAAAACACCCGCCCCCCAGAGACTTGCCTGCAGACCAATCTAATGGAGGCATTTTCTCAGTTGAGAGTCCCTCTTCCCAGATGACACTAGCTTGAGTCAAGTTGACAAAAGCTAACGGGTACAATCAGTTGACTACATTTAGATTTTACCAATTTTACCCTAATAATGCCTTTCTTAACAAAATGGTTTAACACAGATCCACATGTTGCCTGTCACGCAACTTCAGTCCAGAAAATTCCATAGTTTTCCCCCGACTTTCATAACTAGAACATTTTCTAAGATAATGGACAAGATACCTTGTGGAATGTTACTTGGCTTAGGGGATTCTGCTGTTCCTTTACAGGTCAGGTTATGCATGCATCTTTGGCAGGAATATCTAAGACAATGGAAATGTTTCTGGCAGCCTATCAGCTGCCTTGTGATTTGCATTTGATGGTGTTCCAGCTAATGCTACACTTGATCCAGGTGGTTTCTGCTGGGTTGCTGCATTAGAAAGTAATTCTTTTCCTTTGTAATGAATAGCTCTTTTATGCAAAGCTACTTTGGGGCTATGTAACTATCCCACTTGTCTTCTAAATTTTGTCTGCAAATTTTGGCGTTTGTTGATGTGTCTTGCATGAACTAATTATTATTATGATTGTTGCCAAATGGTGGTTTTCTGTTTCTATTGTTTCTTTTGTTTCTTTTACATTCAATCACTGGCATACACTGGCCCAGAGAACTTTCTCATCATTCCCTTCTTTTCCTAAATCTGCTTTGTCTCCATGTTTTATTGAATTACAATCAATCCCTATCACACTTGCTTTGATGCTTTCATAGTCCTGGTATCCCCGGTGGTTTGAACTGGTTTTCGTGTCCTTCTGATGTGTCCCATCATGTTCTAACTGCTTCTTCATGTCTCAGCATCTCAGTGTTAAATTGTCTCTACACTTAAAAACAACAAAAGCAGCCATGCTTCCGGGGCTGCAGCCTGGACATCAGTCCAGCGCTTCCTGAGGCCTCTTCTCCATGGTGAGTAGAGTATGTTCTGCTATAAATCTGTATGCTTGGCATGCTGACTGCTATTGGCTTCTCACTGCTACCAGGGACTCAGTGCATAAAACCATGACAGAAGTATCAAAATTCCCCATGAGTTCCTAACCATACCTCCAGTTCCCTTGAAACACAATAATTGTTCCACCTTTTTCATATTTAAATTTTTCTTATCAGGCAGCAGGAAACCTGGCTCCATAATTCTTCATGTATTTATTTATTTGCTTAAATCCACCCCCCAGAATACAGCAAATCACTAATCTACAGGGCTACCATTCAGTCCGTGACCTTCGGACTATCCTGCTTATGTATCTATCCCTAATGGGTTTTTAAGTGGATTACTAAGGAGGGAAGGAAGGCAGAAAGGGATGACAACACAAAGGGAGAAGGGGGAAATATTAATAGGGATACTGATTGTAGATGATTCTGTGATGAGAAAGTCTATGGATCAGAAAAATAAAATAAAATGAGATTTACTGGCTCGAGAAGGTAGTATTCATGAGGCTAGATTGTGCCAGAATAATCAAGACCCTCATCTGTTATTACTTAAAACCACAAATGTTGTGAGTGGCCCTGCATGTTAAGTTTCCTTTCTGTGGGCTTTGCAGTTCTGGCTACTTTAGCCTCACTGTTCCTCTCTCTTAGGGACACCAGTCAGAACAAGCCACCAGGGATCACAGGTCCGGGAGAGAATGCAAGATAATCGAATCTTCAGGTATTCCTCATGGGGTGGACATACATCCCTCCTGTAACTATTTCTAGGCTAATGGGAGTCACCTGATTATACCTAGTTTGGGTGACTGCCTATGAGACGACAGAAAGTACCACAGAAATGGTTTTCTTCCAACTACTAGGAGAATCTAGCAATATTTAGACTGTGCAGAAACATCTAAGGTGAGGATTTTTGTAAAGACATTTATTTTTCATCGTAAGTTCTTTTGAAATCTAAGACAAGTAAGCTGTTATAGTATAGACATTAAGAAAACCATTTTTAAATCATTTACTTTGAACTTTCATACGACTTTGATCTGAATTTAGAGACAATTCACATAGTTTCGGTTCTAAAATTGTCTGAGCAAAGGTATAAGTCAGTGTTTCTCAAACCTGCCCACAGCTGAGAATCACCCAGAGAACATGATAAGCTAAAGTGTGCAGGTGGACCTCACGCTCAGATTTGGGTAGCATCTGGAGGGTACAGTTTAAAGCTATCTGGGTGAGCCTAGGGCAAAGCTCACATTAGACTCCCTGCCTCCATTCCTGATGCCAGTGTGTTCCCACTGGTCTTTTAGTCTACATGACACATCCCCCCAAAAAACCTCTACCTCCTAAGTCTGGGTGATATACTCTTACATTCTACTGTCCTCTCCCATCTTATCCTTTGTGATATTGTGCTACATTTGCCTGGATGCTTTGCTACCTAAAGCTGTAAGATTCATAAAGATAAGGGCATGTCTTCATTTATGGAAGACCCAACCTCTGACTTCAATGTCTAATTTATATTAGGTGCTCAATTAATGAGTGTCGACTCCATTGGTATTTTAAGGTGCAGTATGAGGGTTAGAGCTGCTTTTATACTGTTTCCTCTCCCAGCATAAGGCTTGGGGACATAGCTATGGGATTAGGAAAGACAGACTTAGGGCCAGGAAATGTGCTTATTCATAACCTTTGTGAAGAACTGATAAGACAATCTTGGCCCAAGGTCACAATAGACATTTGTAAGAGGGTAAAGCAGCGTGTCAAACATCTGATGCCTGCTGCAATTGAATGTACTCTTCTAGTGCTAGACACTGCCCAGGCTTTCCTAAGAGAATCACAGTGGTAATCTATTGGCTTCAGCACAGTGAACCTGTATGCATGTTCGTAAGAAAAAAAAAGGCATGCACATCTCCTTCAGGGAAAAGTACATGCTTTCCTGCCTTTTGGGACCTTTATGCTTTGCCCCTTCCTCTCTGGGTTCAGCAGAGGTAAAAAGAGGGCAGATTTAATTCAGAAGTCTTTGAATCAAATTGTGGTTCCACGACATAACATCCCACCTGGGACCTTCTGCTGTGGGATGTTCTGTATGTTAAATGTGCTTCTCTGATTGGTTAATAAATAAAATACTGATTGGCCAGTGGCCAGGCAGGAAGTATAGGCGGGACAAGGAGAGAAGAGAATTCTGGGAACAGGAAGGCTGAGTCAGGAGACCCTACCAGCCGCTGCCATGAGTACCAACATGTAAGATACTGGTAAGCCACGAGCCATGTGACAACTTATAGATTAATGGAAATGGGTTGATTTAAGCTATAAGAACAGTTAACAAGAAGCCTGCCATGGCCATACAGTTTGTAAGCAATATAAGTCTCTGTGTGTTTACTTGGTTGGGTCCGAGCAGCTGCAGGATTGGTGGGTGAGAGAGATTTGTCCTGCTTTGGGCCAGGCAGGACCAGGAAAACTGGAGCTACAACCCTCAGGCCTGTTTCTTGATTTTCTGCGAGCCCCAGTTTTGCCACATGTAGCGTGGGGACTGGGAGGCACCTGTCTGAAGGAAGACAGCACCAGTGACAGTGTTGGGAAGATGGGGGTCTGTTCGTCAGCTGCCTGCAGAGGTCCCCTCCTCTTTGTCTTCTTTTCCTCTTTTCAGACAGGGTCCTTATAACACAAATCTTAAAAGGTCTTATTAATAAAAAAAAAAAAAAAAAAAACAACCCTAGAGCCAGAGATTGGGGTGAAAGCTGAAAGATCATAGAAGCAGAACAGGCCACAGCCAACCTCACCTTACCAACTCCCCAGCCTCCAGAGCTACTTCCTGTATACCCAAGCCTATATACCTTTCTGTCCCTGCCATCTTACTTCCTCTCTTCACCCAGCTATATCACTTCCTCTTTCCATCCAGTTCTATCACTTCCTGTTCATTTGTACAGACCTCCAGACCGCTATGGCTAACTATGGCTGGCATTAAAGGCATGTGCCACCATGTCTGGCTCTGTTCCCAGTGTGGCCTTGAACTCACAGAGATTTAGATGAATCCTGAATGCTAGGATTAAGGGCGTGTGCTACCATTGCCTGACCTCTATGTTTAATATAGAGGCTGGCTCTGTCCTCTGATCCCCAGGCGAGCTTTGTTTGTTAGACCACACATAAAATACCATCACAGGTCCTGCTGTGTTCTCCAGACCCCAGCAATTCTCTCACCTCAGCCATCCAAGTACCGGGCACCACAGGCATATACCACTGTGTCCTGGTCTTCCCTTCCTCTCCTGCATCACTTCTGAGGCAATGTGAGCTGTGGGAGCCCAGCAGTGATGCAGTGGCCAGGGAGGAATGGCAGCAGGAAGTGCTGCGTGTGCTGTAACACAGCAAGCTCAGATGACTCGAGCCAAAAGCGTTTGCTCACTCATTTCAAATGTGCCATTTACTTGCAATTATTTATTGTAATCCCTCAAAGCATATTTTGTAAAATTAATAAAGTCTGAGCAATTTGAAACCTTTCCAGTTGAGTTTGCCAAAGCAAACTGAGAAAGACAGAAAGTGGAACCCTGAGAGAATGGTTTGATCCATGGGCCAGGGACGGAAGGATTACTGAGGGTTGATATGTGTTCCTAGAATGCCTTTCTATTTCAGGAGAAAATGCAAGCCAATTCCATCTCATAGCAGCAGGCAGACTGAAACCACAGAAGTACGGGTCAGTTCAAGAAGAGACTGGGTACTCTGAATCACACCGCTTACATTTATAGTATTGCATATAGAATAAAAGAATTCGGAGAGTAAAAATAATGTTTGTGCTGGGGATGTCTTTCTGTATGCTGTGAATGTGTTGCTCTGATTGACTGATAAATAAAATGCTGATTGGCCAGTAGCCAGGCAGGAAGTATAGTATAGGTGGGATAAGCAGAGAGGAGAATTCTGGGAAGTAGAAGGCTGAGTCAAGAGATGCTGCCAGCCGCCGCTGCCATGAGAAGTAAGATGTAAAAATATCAGTAAGCCACGAGCCACGTGGCAAGGTACAGATTTATAGAAATGGGTTGATTTAAGATGTAAGAACTAGATAGGAAGAAGCCTGCCACAGCCATACAGTTTATAAGTAATGTGTTTACTTGAGTCTGAGAGGCTGCAGGAGCCGGGATGACGCAGGAAAACTCCAGCTACGTGGTTGTGGCTGAACTTTGTGTGTGTCATGAGCGTTGATGTGTGTGGGTGCATATGGATGTGTGTTCTTGTATGTATGGAGGCCAGAGGTCAGCTTTAGGTGTTGTTTCTCAGTATGGAATCTACTAACTTTATTTATCGTGTGTGTGTGTGTGTGTGTGTGTGTGTGTGTGTGTGTGTGTGTGCGCGCGCGCGCGCGCGCACTTGAGTGTTTGTTCTTGTGTGTGTTGTAGTTATGTTTGAGTGTATGTGTATATGTGTGTGCTTATGGGGTTACAGGGGTGGAGGCCAGAGTTCAATCTTGAATCTTATTCCTCAGGATGACTATCTACTCAACCTCTGTCTGTCTGTCTATCATCTATTGTGTGTATGAGAGAGAGAGAGAGAGAGAGAGAGAGAGAGAGAGAGAGAGAGGTGAGAGATGGGGGCAGGGGATGGAGAGAGAGAACAGGTGCACCAGTGCCCCAGCACACTTATGGAGACAGCATTTGGAAGTCACTGCTCACCTCTGACCTTGTTTTGAGGCAGCATTTCTCTTGTTTCTGCTGCTGTGCTTGCTTTCTGTCTCTTGTTGGAGTGCTGGAATTGCAGATGTGCGCTACTGCGTCTGGCTTTTTCTTGGCTTCCAAGATCAAACTCGGGTCATCAGGCAAGCCTGATGTGCTTTTCCATGCCAAGCCATCTCCCCAGCCCCACCTTTTTTTTCTTTTTTTTTTTTCTGAGACTGTCTTGCACTGGGACCTGGGACTCACTGATTAGGCCTGATTGGCTGGCCAATAAGCCACAGGGAACCTTCTAGGTCTGGTCCCCAGTGCATGCCACCAGGCCTCGATTTTTATGTGGGTTGTGGACTGAACTTAAGTCCTTACATGTTTGCAGCAAGCACTTGGAAGACTGATTTTCCAACTCAGCTGTCACTGAACTTTAAGAAGTGGATGCCAACTTGTGATGGAAAATATTAGGGTTGTGTGAGGCCTGGCGTTAGTTTTCTCCTGGTTGTTTGCTCCTGGGCTCCTCACTGAGATTAGGAACTGCACCAGCATTGCCAGCGCTCATGTCATGGAAGACTGATTCTGCAGGACACTCTGTGACTAGAGGCTTCGTGATGGAATGAGCTTAGTAACCTTTCATGTGTTTCTCTTATCTTGTAGATTCACTAATCCATCTGTCTGCTATGCTCAGAGCACTCCAACAGTAGCAAGCCTGAAAAACATGGTTTTATTTCATTTGCTTTTATAGATTATAATATAATTACATCATTTCTTCCTCCTCATTCCTCCCTCCAAACTCTCTAGTATACCCCTCTTCCATTAATTGTTGTTGCGTATGTACACACACACACACACACACACACACTCCCCAATACACAAATACAACCAGCTGAGTATGTGTAAAGTTACTTGTATGTGTGTTTTCAGGGCTAACCATTTGATATTGACAATCAATATGCTTAACTCTGTGATTCTGATTCACATTTCTGTTTTTATTTTTATAAAAATCACATTTTTAAAATAAATCACATTTTATAAAATTATGTGATTCCCACATTATTTTATTTTTTACAAAGAAGTATTATATTTATTAATATCCAAAGACTTGCTATGGTCTGAGGTAGCTGTTGGGAAACTCTGAATTTTGTTAGTTAAATATATCGACTGGCCCATTCCACCCACATAACAGCCCTTCTGGAACAGAATTGCAGTAAGAATTACATAAATTTTTTACATTAAGCATAATGTGATTTAGAACTAGTCATAATAGGTTTCTTGTAAGGGTTTACAAGAATTAAGATATAATTTCTATATCATGGGCTCAGTGTACAATTTGAGGTTTGGGACATCCTTGGAGTTGAATAATCTGTAGCTGTTTTTTGGGGGGGCTGCCACCCAGCTCCCAAATAAATACATGGAGACTTATTCTTACTTTATGAATGCCTGTCCTTAGCTTGGCTTGTTTCTAGCCAGCTTTTCTAACTTAAATTATCCTGTTTCTCTTTAACTACATTTTGCCTCTGGGCTTTTTAAAAAACAAAAACAAAAACAAAAACCTTTCTTTATTTTCTTTATTATTTATTTTATTTTTGTTTTTTTGAGACAGGGTTTCTCTGTGTAGTTTTGCTGCCTATCCTGGATCTCGCTGTGTAGACCAGACTGGCCTTGAACTTACAGATATCTGCCTGGCTCTGTCTCCTGAGTACTGGGATTAAAGGCATGTGCCACCACGACCTGCCTGGTGATCTTTCTTTATTTTTATATCTTTCTTTCCTTCTTAATTTGTGGTTGGGTGGCTGGCCCCTGGTGTCCTCCTTTCCTCCTTTTCTCACTCCTTGCTCTCTTCCCTTGATTTCTCATTCTATTCATTCTCTCTGCCTGACAGCCTTACCTATCCCTTTCCTGCTGTTGGCTGTTCAGCTCTTTATTAGGCCAATAAAGTATTTTAAGCAGGCAAAGTAACACAGCTTTACAGAGTTAAACAAATGCAAAATAAAAGAATGCTACACATCTTTGCATCATTAAACAAATATTCCACAATGTTCTCCCCTTTTTTGTTCAAATAAAAATGAAAGGTAAAACTGCATACAACCAAACCAGTTATCAAGTATGAATTACATTTACAATAACTTGTCCATTTGTATTTAGCAAATTCAGAGAAAATACTACATTATCCATCTTAGTGCCTCAAAAGTTTATACCTGATTTATTTTCTATCCTCACTAAGGAAAACTTAATTCTAACTGTTTAGCCTTTAACTCCATCAAAGCCCCCAGAAGAATATAATATTACCTAACAACAGAGATATCCGACTGCCTAGACAATCACCCAAAGTTCCTCTGCAATGTTGGAGCATATATCTTTGGCCTACAGGCTTAGAATATTTGGTAGATTTTTCAGTGAAGCAGGAAATTTGAAGGACCATCCTGCCTTGTGTTGGCAAAGTTCAGCAGTTGCTTTCTTATGTGTTCTGAAAAATGTCTGGCAGACTCTTCTGTGAGGCAGGAATCTCAGACTGTTCTGCCTTGTTTTGGGAAAGTTCAACAGTCTTTGTTTTCTGATTTTTTTTTTTTTTTTGGTTTTTTCGAGACAGGGTTTCTCTGTGTAGCTTTGCGCCTTTCCTGGAGCTCACTTGGTAGCCCAGGCTGGCCTCGAACTCACAAAGATCCGCCTGGCTCTGCCTCCCGAGTGCTGGGATTAAAGGCGTGCGCCACCACGCCCGGCCTGTTTTCTGATTTTATATGGAGTTTATTCAGTGCCCATCTTCCTTTTATGAAGTAAATTGGTGATGCCAGGAGCAGATATGTCTCATTATCATGAAAAAAACCTTAGGTTATTAAACATCTTAAATGCCATATTCTGTAGGTCTTTGAAGTGTTTGAAAAATCATCTATCTGTTTAAAACATACATGTTTAACCTTGAAAACATACCTAATGTGACTACAAGTTTGATTATTATAGATTAACTACTTACTTCATTTCTATTATACATTGCATTTTTAAATGAACTACATAAGAACAATAATCCAAACAAGACTAGAAACAAAAACAACTTTAAATTTGTATCAGTATACCAAACTCCATGCCAATGCAAAATATCTGAGATTAATAGTTATCTTTTTATCCAATATTCCTATATTTCCCTAGATGATAACAAATATCCATAACCCACCAAATGACCAAAATTTACCCACCTTACCTCTTGGGATGCAGGTGTCATGTTCTCTAGACTGCTTCCTGTTGTCTGTGGGTGAAGGCATCTTTAGGGGTCCCTGAGAAACTGAGATAATGGCCAAGTCCTGGGAGGACCAGCTGTAACCATTGTTGATACATATCACCTGTCAAGATTCAGGAGGTCTCCCCCAATCAAACCTGATCCATATTAACCCTGAAGGAATCCACAGCCTCTCATTTTATGTGGAAATAAAAGCAAAAGTAACATAGTTTTTGACTTTTTTTTTTAAGTTAAGATAGCCTTAAAGGATCTAGATTAAGTTTGGCAGTCCCATTCACAATCCCATGTCTGTCAGTGGCTGTCCTTTGCTCATCAGCCTTTCAAAAAATTCAAAAATCAACACCATACTATACAGGGTCCAGACTCGCTGTGTATTTTTCATCATTACAGGGCTTTTTTTCTTTTATATTACTTTGCTCTCTCTTTAAAGACTTTATTGTTTTTAAAC